GGGAGCCACCTTAAAGAAGTCTCCTGACCTCAGGAGGAAAGGAAAAAGCTCCTGAGATACTTATCCTCCTGGCAGCCATATAGGGGCCAAGGAATTGACTAAAAGACCAGTAGGGCCCCTAGAAGTTCTCGTAGCCCTGCCAGCACGGCTCCCAGAGGGCCCCTAGAAGTTCTCGTAGCCCTGCCAGCACGAAGGCTCCCAGAGAAGCCTACTCATCTGCCAGAGGAGCAGAGGTTAGCTGAGAAACTAAGGGCCCGGGAAGGAGAGGTTGGATGGCTAATTCTGCCAGACGGGAGGCCTATAGTACCAGAAGCTCTAGGGCGGACCATCGCTTCCCAGACCCACCAGAGCACCCACCTGGGGGGAATGAAGCTATCAGAACTACTAGGACATCCCAGGGCTCCAGAAAATATCTCAAGAGTTGGCTAGAAGGTGCCAAGTGTGTGCCCTGGTGAATCAAGGGCCCCCTGTTGTGGCCGCGCCGGGACATTGATTCCGAGGTCAGAACCCCAGAGAACACTGGGAAGTGGACTTCACCGAGATACCAGGAGGACAAGGAGGGTATAAATACTTGCTGGTTTTCATTGATACCTTCTCTGGCTGGCCTGAGGCATACCCAACCAAGGCAGAGAGAGCACAGGTAGTAGTTAGAAAACTCCTCACTGAAATTGTCCCCCGGTTTAGCCTACCACTATATATGGGGTCCGATGATGGCCCGGTGTTTATCACCAAAGTTACACAATCCATAGTTAAGGCCCTAAAAGTTACTTGGAAATTGCATTATGTTTATAAACCACAAAGTTCTGGACAGGTAGAAAGAATAAATTAAATCTTAAAAGAAACATTAACTAAGTTAAAATGAAAGACTGGCAAAAACTGGGTAAGTCTCCTTCCTTTTGCTCTCCTCAGAGCTAGGTACACCCCATACATCCAAGGGCTAACTCCTTTTTGAAATAATGTTTGGGCGACCGCTGCCATTGATGCCCAGGTTGGGGGAGGAAGAAATTGCCCAGCTGTCTACCCAAAATTTGCTTAAGTCCTAACAGGCTTTGCAGAGCAGCGCCACATCAGCACAACGGGTGGTGAGAGCCATACGGGAGGAGGACGTGCTGAGATCCAGTCAAACACAGCCTGCCTTCTCTCTGGGTGATCTCATCTGGGTGAAGTGCCACGACCTTAGCAGCCTGGAACCTAGATGGGATGGACCCTACCAGGTGGTGCTGAGCACTCCAACCACCATCAAAGTCACAGGAAAGAGGCACTAGAATTTGTACCCCCGTCCTCCTCATGCCTCTCGCCTGGTGAACTGAGCAATGGGAAGGAGAAAGACATGGGAACTAAGACTCTATGTCAGTGGCCGAGACCCTGGCCAATTCTTCACCATCAAATGCCGGACTCTTCCCCGGTGGCTCGACCCCTACATTGCCAAATGCCTCCTCAATTTCATATCGTAGAGGAGGGCACTGAATCAAAGATTTGATTCGGGCATAAGACCAGTAGGGAATGTGCTAGGGTGAGGAACTGCGCCATGGAAGGGTTACAGAATGTTACAGAATGTACTAAGGGGAGGAAATAAAACATGAGAAATTGAATATGCTGGGAGGGGGGACTGACATATGGAGAAGGATTGTATTAGGGTTAGGAACCATGGAAGAAAAATTGCTAGATTGTCTTAGAAAAACAATGTGTTATGATATGCTCCAGCCAGGTGTGACTCTGTTTACCCCCCCCTTTGTGCTTATGAACTTTCTGTGAACTTCTAAGGAACAGCTAATGAAATGCTCTGTATTTTTTTTAACACTGTTTTGCTATAAAGGATCATACTGCACCCTTGATCTCTGCCACATGCCTCGAGGCTTCCCAGAGGGGGAAGGTACGGGCTGTGGTCAGCTGGCCAGCTTAATAAAGGCTATTAAATTTAAATTCTGAATCGGTGGTCTATCTCATTGAGCTAACCCATAACAGTTTGAGGACTGTGCTTGTTGGGAAGAGCACAGGTCAGCTCTTGATGTTTAGGTTCAATAAGGGTGTTTGTTGAAGGACAACATTTTCATCTCTAGGAACAAAGTGGTGAAATCCTTTCATTTTGTTTGGGGCAAGTGAATTTTCTTAACTATTTAAAAAGCAGCTCAGGTAGTGGCTAATAGGATTAGGGAAATTATCTTATTGCAGCTTCATTTTCTGGGCTGCTCCTTGAGGTGGGGGAGAAACAGCTAAGGCCCAATCTGGGGTTAGTGGTGGGTGCAAAAATGCTGATTTAACTAAGATATAGGGAAGTGATGGCGAACCTTTTGAGCTCAGCGTGTCAGCATTTTGAAAAACCCTAACTTAACTCTGGTGCCGTGTCACATATAGAAATTTTTTGATATTTGCAACCATAGTAAAACAAAGATTTATATTTTTGATATTTATTTTATATATTTAAATGCCATTTAACAAAGAAAAATCAACCAAAAAAAATGAGTTCGCGTGTCACCTCTGACACGCGTGTCATAGGTTCGCCATCACTGATATAGGGTATGCTCAGAGACTTCGCGGTCTATCCAACACCTCCACGTGTAGCTCAATCAGAGTCTTTAGAACAGCTTTCTGAGTCCATGTGGGCAGAATTCTGTCCCATGTCCTCATGTTGCAGAGACATAGGCAGAGGTACCACCAAGACTTTAGGTGAGATGCCTTCGATAGGCCCCCATGACCTTGCCTGAGCAGGTTCATGTCACTCAGAGACACCTGGCCCATGGGGCTGAAGAGCAGAGTTGTGTCAGCACCAGGGCTTGGAAGGAGACCAGGGTGTTGGAGGGAAGATAGAGGAATGGACCTGAGGTGTGAGGAAGGAGCCATTGGGAAAAGGGCTGTGTGAACCTGAGGCCTGGTTCTCTCCCACCAACCAAGAAGTACAGTCTTGAATGTATGTGTTCAAAACTGCAAAAGGAAAACTAGAACAACAATATTCAGCATTTTTAGCAACAGATTTTATTGTTTAAAGTGCAGCCAGCATTGCTATATTTAAAGTTGAATTTCTTACAAAATTTCACATTCAATGTTTCCAGATCACGCTAGCCTCCTACATTTGATGCCACAAGTTTTATTAACAATTTTTATTTCCTCAAAAAATCAATTATTTGCTGAGTTGTGTGTTGGAGACTTCTTTACAAGTTTTCACACATACACAGACACACAGTAGCACATACACTCATATTTTCTGATATGAAATTTAATTAAGCTATCCTCTGCTTTGATTTTAGGATTGCTATCTACTTGGTGTGGGAAAGTTAAGGTTGACTGAAAAATAAATGATCACTGAAGGCCTTGCTTTCTTGACATAGTGTGTTTTGTACTGTATGAATGAATGCTCACATTTACTACAAGTGTTGCTTTATTAATAAACGGTTTCTTGTGATTTTTACCCTGAATAACTTCACTAGTGTGAATGATCTGTAAAGAAATGTTTGGGTTTCCTCAAGAAGGTTCATGTTCTGATTTCCTGTTTTAGTGTTTAGTTCTCACTGAGTTTGATGTGCACACAAAATCTGATAGTTGGCTGAATGTTTGTCAATAGTGACCACAGTCATAGGGTTTCTCCTGGTGAAATTTATTCCTTTTACCAATAATTATAAGTGAAGCCTTACGCATTCTCCTCTGAACAATATGTCAAGTGTCTTCAAAGTTCAGAGCTGTTGCACAGGACATCTAAATCAGCATGTTTACAATATGAGTTGTCACGTTATCTGAGATCAGGCCAATGATTAAAGGCTTGCACAGTTACCACACACATGGACCCACTCACATATTAAAGGTCTTTCTGGCCAAGGAGCTTGGTGATTCATAGATTTTTCCACATTGCTTACTGAGGGTTTCTTTCATGTGTGCATGTGCTGGTGTGTTTAAATGATAAAGCTATGATTGATGTTCTTCCACATTTATTACATATGCAATGCCATCTTATGTGCAGTCAGGTCAGACTATCTACTGAAGGCTTTCATGATTTCCTCCCCTGTGTTGGGTTCCCTCATGTCTTCTAAGGGAAGAACGATGACTGAAGGCTTTGCCACATAGCCGACATTCATAAGGCTGTTCTCCAGTGTGGGTTCTCTGGTGTCTTGTGAGATTAGCATGTTGACTGAAGGCATTCCCACACTGACCACATTCATATGGTTTCTCTCTGGAATGTGTTCTGTTGTGACGTGTTAGCTCAGAACTTTGAGTGAAAGCCTTCCCACATATGGAACATACATGTGGTTTCTCCCCCCTGTGAATTTTCTTGTGTTGGCTAAGTCCAGAGCTTTGGTTAAAGGCTTTCCCACACTGATGACACTCATACAGTTTCTCCCCAGGATGGATTCTCTCATGTTTTCTAAGGTAAGATCTTTGCTTGAAAGCTTTGTCACATAGGGGACATTCATATGGTTTCTCTCCTGAGTGGATTGCCTCATGCTGTCTTAGGTAAGAACTCCGACTGAAGGCTTTCCCACACTCACGACACTTATAAGGCTTTTCTCCAGTGTGCCTTCGATTGTGGTTTCTAAGGTCAGATCTTTGTAAAAAGTCTTTCCCACATACATCACATTTAAATGGTTTCTCTTCACTGTGAGTCATCTTGTGTCGTCTGAGGCTGAAGACATTGCTAAAGGCTTTCCCACATTCACATATATTACCTCTGGTGTGACTTTCATTGTGTCTACTAAGGCATGACTCTTCTCTAGGTGACTTTCCACACTGTTGGCTGACATAAGATTTCTTTCCTCTCTCAATTAAAGAATGTTGACTCACAGCTGATCTATGAGTAAATTCATCACTCAAATCAGCACATTCAATAGGATCCTCTGGAGTGTGAGATTCCCGCTGTGTGGAAGGAGATGAGAGGTGTCAATGGTTTGCCCACATACATTCATACAATCATTTTCTACATATCAATTCTAGCATATTAGTCAGAAATACTCTCTGGTGAAAATGTTTCACGTGTTTGTTACATGACACCCTGGCAGGCACAAAGATTTTCTCTTTTTTAGTATCTCCCTCAGAACGTTATTACATAAATTTGGAAGACTTTAGTCCAGTGATGGCAAACCTTTTGAGCTTGGCATGTCAGCATTTTGAAAAACCCTAACTTAACTCTGGTGCCGTGTCACATATAGAAATTTTTTGATATTTGCAACCATAGTAAAACAAAGATTTATATTTTTGATATTTATTTTATATATTTAAATGCCATTTAACAAAGACAAATCAACCAAAAAAATGAATTCGCGTGTCACCTCTGACACACGTGTCATAGGTTCTCCATCACTGCTTTAGTCTGTTTCAACAACTAGGTAATCAGCCAATGTTATGATATTGTCTTTTTTGTTCAAGATATTGCTTTGGCTCATGTTTGTTTCTTCACTGATTTCAAATTATCCAAAAGTTTCCTGAAAAGAGCTTAATCTCAAGTTAACTATACAATTGCATTCAGGTAGTTGTGCTCATGACTAACTTATCTCATTGCCACATATTCAATTTGGATGATTAGTTTCACACCTATGAGCCTTACCATTGGCATGGTGGAGGATATGCCCTTCTTGCCGACCTGCTGCATTAATATCATCTCTGGTTTTTTAAGGGGATCTCTCATGTCTGAAGGGATTGAAAAATAAAATGTGTTACAATGTCATTAGCAGAATGAGTATGTATATATGCACCATGATCAATCTGTATGTTTTTAAACCTGTCACTGCATTAGAGAAAGTGTGTTCAATGAAATATTTTAGGTAGTACAAACAATGTAAAGTAAATTGAAGTTTAGGGGGAAATAATATCAGGGTTGGAACATGAAAAGCAGGAACTGATGAGAGATGATGGGTCAGCCTATGGTGGTAAAACCTGAAAAAGCAGGATCTGGACAAGAATTACTATAGCAAAGTCCAACTGTAAGAAGCACACAATTATATTTTTCCACAAAGAAAAGGAAAAACGCAGGTAGGACACATCCCTTCTCATTCCTATGTGCAAGAAATAACAACATAAGGAATCTTTCCCAGGTGTCCTCCCTTGGATTTTGGAATGTGTAACTCAAATCCAAAGCCTTCACCTGATATTCTAAGAACATACTCAGTCACTGAGAGGCATCTCCTTACATTGAAGCCCTCACCCCTGCTGCTCACCTGCAATCTGGCCTTGGAGAAACCCAGTCCCTTCACTCCTCAGCTGTCCTTGATCCAGCTGGAAAGTCACACCTGAGCTGCAGATCCGATACCCTGTTTGTGGAAGAAAGGTAAATGGATTACGAGTCCTGTGCAAATTAACCATTGCAGTTACCAAGCCTACGACAGATTACTGCTGAGGAACACAGAGGTGAATGAAGGTGGGTGCTGGCAACAGCACTTTCAGAGAAAGCATTGCAGGTCCTGCACCAAACCGGGAAAAATAGACATGTGGCCACAGCAGGAAGTACTGATTGATACTTATTTCCATGATCAAGTTCAAGGAAAGAATTCAGAATACTCAGTTTTCTCAAAATGTGAGAGGTTAATGTCTCCATAGTGGGTTCAATATTATTTTCATACAGAACCCAATAAACATAACTTTCATAATAGTAACCAAAATGTTCTTAAGTTCAATAGTCTGCTCTTAAGCCTCCAAATACACTAGAACAGTGGTCGGCAAACTGCGGCTCGTGAGCCACATGTGGCTCTTTGGCCCTTTGAGTGTGGCTCTTCCACAAAATACCAACTTCTGCGCATGGGCCACGAAGTTTCAATCACACTGTACATGTGCGCCCACACGTGGTATTTTGTGGAAGAGCCACACTCAAGGGGCCAAAGAGCCGCATGTGGCTCGCGAGCCACAATTTGGCAACCACTGCACTAGAACATACTAAGTATTTTAAAGTATTTGATCAATCACGAATGAATTAACGATATCCATTGCTTTCTTTTCTATAATCTGAGTGTTGGAGACAGAGTTGCAAAATGATATGAAGTTGTGGTCAAGATGACATTCCAGTGTGGAGATGAAAAAAATGTAAAAAAAATTTTTTCTTCTAAGCAGTTATGAGGGCTATGAGAGAATCAGGGCAGTGCCTGGAGCAAGATAGTAGCAGCTGTTCTACGTAGCTGAAGGAATGGACACTTACATGCATAAATACACTTACCGTCTTACATATACAAACACACATATGTACTCACATACATACATACTTACGGGATATATGTTTTAAGACTCACCCACAGAGACCAGGTCACTGATGTTCTCCAGCACCACATCTCTGTACAGCTTTCTCTGGGGTGTGCCCAGCAGGGCCCACTCTTCCTGAGTGAAGTCAACAGCTATATCCTTGAAGGTCACTGATTCCTGAAACATCATGGACATTCCAGGTTAAACAGAGCAGTTCCTGCCAGTGTGCGGAGGAGGAGGGTTGGGGAGCTGGGTGTATGGAAAGATCAGTCTGTGTTTGGGGTTCTACTGAGGTCACTGTCAGTGCTGAGTTGGTGTCTGCCTTTCATAGAAACATGCAAGGTATGAGTTCGTATTCTGCTTTGTGAATAGAGATGAAAAAATGTAAATGGTTTGCCCACATACACCCATACATTTCTTTCTCACATATCAGTTCTAGAATATCAGTCAGTAATTGTCTCTGGTGAAAATACTTCAAGCGTTAGTTGCATATGCATGTTCTGTGACTCCCTGGCAAGCATAAATATTTTCTCTTTTTAGTATCACAATCAGAGAGTTATTAGATAAATTTGGGAGATTATAGTATGTTTCAACAACTAGGTAATGAACTGGTTTTATGATATTGTCTCTGTTTAATACTCAGGTTATTGTTTTGGCTCTTCTAATTTCTTCCCTGATTTCAAACTGTCCAATTTTTTTGCTTGGAAAAAGCTTAATCCCAAGATAACTACACAATCCCATTCAGGCAGTGTGTTCATGAAAACTTATTTCATCACCACATATTTAATTTGGATGATTAGTCTCACACCTATGAGCCTTACCATTGGCATGGCGGGGGATATGCCCTTCTTGCTGACCTGCTGCATTAATATCTTCTCTGGTTTTTTAAAGGGGTCTCTCATGCCTACAGGGGTTGAAAAAGTATAAATTGTTACAATGGCGTTAGTGGGAGAAAAAATGTACATATGCAGCAAGATCAATATATGTATGACTTAAAACCTGGCACTTCATTCTAGAAAGCATATCCAATGAAATGGTCTAGGTCCGTGGTCGGCAAACTGCGGCTCATGAGCCACATGTGGCTCTTTGGCCCCTTGAGTGTGGCTCTTCCTAAGCCTTAGGAGTACCCTAATTAAGTTAATAACAATGTACCTACCTATATAGTTTAAGTTTAAAAAATTTGGCTCTCAAAAGAAATTTCAATCGTTGTACTGTTGATATTTGGCTCTGTTGACTACTGAGTTTGCCAACCACTCATAGTACAAACAATGTAAAGTTAATTGAAAATTAGGGACAAATGAAATCGAGATTAAAGCATGAAAAGCTGGAAGTGGTGCAGAGATGCTGGGCCTGCCTATGGTGGGAAAACCTTAAGAGGGATTATCTCAACAGGAATCACTATGGCAAAGTCCAACCGCAAGAAGTACACATTGGTTCTTCCCCCTAAAATGGAAAGAAAACTGGAGGAAGGACGCCTGCCTTATGATTGAGATGTGCAAGAAATGATAAGATGAGGAATCTTCCCGGTGCCCTCCCTTGGATTTTGGAATGTGTAACTCACTTCCTAAAGCCGTCACCTGATATTCTAAGGATGTACTCAGTCACTGACAGGCACCTCCTCCCACTGAAGCCCTGACCCCTGCTGCTCACCTGCCATCTGGCCTTGGAGAAACCCAGTCCCTTCACTCCTCAGCTCTTCTCCTGGCTTCAGCTGGAAAGTCACTCCTGAGTTGCAGATCCGATACCCTGTTTGTGGAAGAAAGGTACATGGATTTCGAGTCCTGTGCAAATTAACCATTGCTGTTACCAAGTCTAAACCAGGTTACTGAGGAGGAACAAAGAGGGATTGAGGGACAGTCCTGGTAACAAGATATTCTACAGAGAAAACATTGAAGGCCCTTCACCCAACCAGGAGACAAGACAGACTGGTGGCAAAAACAGAGAAGACTGCTGGATGAATATACCCATGATCAAGTTCAAAGTCTGAAGTCAGAATACTTAGTCTTCTCAAACTGTGAGAGGTTAATGGCTCCAGAGTGGGTTCAATATTATTTTCAAACCAAACCCCATCAACATAATTTCCATAAGAGTAATCAAAATGATCATATTTTCAGTAATCTGCCCTTACTTTTCCAAATACACTCAACCTATTTTTAAGTATTTGATAAATCAATTATGGGTGAATAATATCCAGCGATTTCTCCACCATATTCTAAGTGCTGGAGACAGAATTGCAAGATGATACAAAGTTGTGGTCAAGATGACATTCTAGTGTGGAGATGAAACAAAATGTAAAAAAAAATCTTTCTTCAAACACTTATGTGGGTTATGAATCAGGGAAGTGCTTGGTGTGAAATAGTGGCAGCTGCTCTATGTACCTGTTCAATGCATGAAGGAATGGACACTTACAAATATGAATACTTTCACATGCATACAAACATACATACAAGTTTTAAGACTCACCCATAGAGACCAGGTCACTGATGTTCTCCAGCACCACATCTCTGTACAGCTTTCTCTGGGGTGTGCCCAGCAGGGCCCACTCTTCCTGAGTGAAGTCAACAGCTATATCCTTGAAGGTCACTGATACCTGAAACATCGTGGACATTCCAGGTTAAACGAAGCACTTCCTGCCGGTGTGCGGAGGAGGAAGGTTGGGATGACAGCATTGAGGAATGATGGGGAGCTGGGTGTATGGAAAGATCAGTCTGTGTTTGGGGTTCCACTCAGGTCACTGTGAGTACTGAGCTGCTATATGCCTTTCAGACACATTTTTAGAAGCATACACACTATGAATTCATAATAATCCTATATAATAAAGAGGCAATATGCAAATTGACCATCATGCCATCACAAGATGGCTGCCTATGACCAGGCCAGCAGGGGGTTAGTGAGGGACAACCAAACGACTGAACAAGCATGCTGCGTGGGGTGACCAGGCTGGCAGGGGGCCCGTGAGGGCCGACCAGGCCAGTAGGGGGGCAGTTAGGGGCGACCAGGCCAGCAGCGGGGGGCAGTTAAGGGGTAACCAGGCTGGCAGGGGGAGCAGTTAGGGGCAACCAGGAAGGCAGGCAGGTGAGCGATTAGGAGCCAGCAATCCAGGATTGTGAGAGGGATGTCCGACTGCCGGTTTAGGCCCTGGAATCGAGCCTAAACTGGCAGTCAGACATCCCCCGAGGGCTCCTGGATTGGAGAGGGTGCAGGCTCGGCTGAGGGGACTCCCCCATGCACAAATTTTGTGTACTGGGCCTCTAGTTTGTTATAAAGAAGCATCACATGTGGTGTGGTTTTACACAGTCTGAGAGTTTCTCCGTAACCTGATCATTAGAATTTCTGGACAGGTGGTCATAAAATATTCACTTATAAATTCATAACATAAACTGTCTTTTTCCATTAATTTCAAGAAAGTCCATAAATTCATCACAACACAACAATTCCCATATTGTGATACATTTGTGACATGACCATTGGTTGAAATATGTTCCTAGAGGAACTTTTGTTTCCTCATCTATAAACCGGTGTCATTACTTATGAATGTTGAAACATTTAATGAACTAATGTACGAAATGTTTCTTTTGTAGCAAACCTGCATGAAATACTAGACATTACTCAGAACTGAGCAGGTTTATACAGAACTTGATACCAGTAGATCTGTTCTGTCTTATTTCTACAGAATTCAGGTATTCAGAACAAACAACAGCCCAGACGGTCAGCAGCACAAGCCAAGGCTGTGAGGGGCTATGTTGAAGGCCAGTCCTAGCCTGACCATCCTGTGGGATGAGGCCTCCCATTCTCGACTTTGTCTGGGACCTCATAACTAGTTATTACTATTTTCCTGGTAGCTTTATCTTGTCTCATTCTAAAGAATAACAGAAACCTCATTATTTGGTTTAGTCTATGTAGTTTCCCAAAAATTTACCAAGGACTTAGCTGTTACTCTACCTACTATATCCCTTCTCCTTCATGGGTGCCAAAATTAAGGAAATCCTACTCCCTGCCCATTAATTTCTAAGAGGTAAAAGTGGTATTGGGGGGAGTAAGAGAAAGAACTGTAATTTTAGTTTCACATTTTATAAATTTTCAAAAGTGCAAATGCATCCTTATCATTGTCAGTCCTAAAATTGGGGAAAATAAAATAATTTATCTATCATACTAAACCTTTGTCTTGCTCCTCTCCACACTGAGCAGCCCTTACCTTGGCCCTTGCAACACTGGATTAATTGTGCTCATGTGCTCATACAGGTGCCTCCAACAATGGACTATTATGTTCTGCTCTTCATGGGTCTCCTTTGCTTGCAAGCATCATCACTCTAAGCTCATTTCAACCAAAGACACGGTTAGTGTGTTCATGATTGACCAGTGACCCTATGGACTGGATTTAAGAAAACTTCTTTGATCTGTTCTATAAACAAGCAAGGTAATGTAGCCTGTCATAAATCTGTGTAATGTTGAGAAGGAGATTCCCTATTGATGAGTTCCTGACCCATGATATCTATCCCATTATTTCAGGCAAATCTCGTTGGAACTCAGATGCCTGAACACCACTTAAGACACCCATGCCAATAGGAAACACTTGTCCATCTAATGGCCCTTGGATGTAATTTCCATAGGAAGACATATTCTCTACTCACCTGTGGCTGCATGGTCAATGATCCAGTTGCCAGGAGTCTTTCTCTGGGTTTTCACCCACAGACAGTCCAAGCACTAAGCAAGCAAATCTGGGGACAGACAAAGAAGCCATGAGACTCCGGTCTTGTGCACAATTTTTAGTCCCACCTGTCAGAAAGGCCCAGTGTTCACCTGGGTATGTTCCCCACTCCAAGTCTAACAAACTGAAACCAGTGTTGAACTCTCAGAATAACGTGCCCAGATCTCTACTCTTCAGGGTCAATTGTAATAGGGCTGTAGCTGTGGTTGCTATAACGAAGGTCAAATCACAGATATCTTACAGAAAGGAGCATGATAAATATTGAGTGTGCTATGTTAACGAACCTACAACATCTAAAATTATTCAAGTCCCTCCCTGAATCCAAAGTGCATAGATCCCTGACTCTTGCCATATATAGACATTGGTTTCCACCTGCAGGTAAGCACTGTGGAATTTCTCAGGTGTCATTATTATTGCCTTATGCATCTTCATGGTTTTTCCAAGCAGTCAAGACCTTAAAATCTCCACCATCAGAAAGTAGCAGGAGGACATACATGAGTCACAGAGTTAATGTCATGTACTGCCTCAGTTCTCTAGGTCAAGGGAGCCCAGAGAGTAAAGAATGGCTGGGCTTGATGAAGAAATCTACTTGGTTCATCTGGTAACTGGTTAAATGGTAGCAGAGACCCTCAAATCCAATTCTGTACTTATCTTCCTTAGCTAATTCTATATAATAAAGAGGTGATATGCAAATTGACCCTCACACCCTTGCATCATCACAAGATGGCCACCCCCACGCCATCACAAGATGGCTGCCAAAAGATGGCCGCCCCCACATTGTCGCAAGATGGCCTGCAGGGGAGGGCAGTTGGGGACCATTGGGCCAGCAAGGGAGTAGTTAGGTGTCAATCAGACTGGCAGGGGAGCGGTTAGGGGGTGATCAGGCTGGCAGGCAGAGGCAGTTAGGGGCAATCAGGCAGGCAGGCAGGCAGGGAGGCAAGTGTTTAGGAGCCAGCAGTCCCGGATTGTGAGAGGGATGTCCTGCAGGGATCGGGCTAAACCAGCAGTTGGACATCCCCTGAGGGGTCCCAGATTGGAGAGGGTGCAGGCTGGGCTGAGGGACACCCTGCCAGTGCACAAATTTCATGCACTGGGCTTCTAGTGTGTATATGTGTATGACAAAAAAGATTTATAAACTATAATTTCTCCCCTAACATATCAACCATAATTAAATGTATTTTATGGACAAATAAT